ATTTCAGACATTTTTAATAGCCTCAGGATGGCTTCAGTCTCTAAAGTGGCTACCGAAATGTGTGCGCCACAGCACCATCAAAGCATGTTGCCAAAATGTTAGTCCTGGAAGCTATGGGATTATAAGGGTTGTTCAAGGGTTATTCTCTTCTTTAGTTAAATTTAGTCCTTTTTCCATGCAGCAGCTCTGCTCTGAAATGTCCTCCTGCTCTTTCTGTGCTTCTTAGCACCCATTTATCCATAATGCCCTGGTTGGTTATAAGGAGAACATGTGTTTCTTGAAAGCTGTCAAGCTTTTCTTCTTACCTGCAACACTTCTTTAGGTGGTATGATTATACCTACGAAAGGTAACTCCCACGGGTTCAAAGACAGGCAAAACCAAATATGCACATCTCTCTCTCTCTTTTTTCTTTTTTTAATTTTTTTTTTTAATGGTTTGAATGTTTTGCTCTGTGTGAGGCCTGGGTAGATGTTTCTGTGGTTCCCAGAGGAGGGAGGGTGAGGAGTCAGTGACAGGGGAAATGGTGGTTGTGGTCACACAGTTGTTCAGGCAGTGCATAGAGGGAAGTCAAGTGAGTGGTCAAGTCAGGTGCATAACACTGTAGATGGCAAACATCTGTGGGGTATTTATTTATACACAGCACTTCTCAGTAGAAAAAACTGCTCCTTGCATTTAAAGTCTGACTTTCTGGACATTTAGCAGTTTTAAAGCTAGACTGAAATTTTGGATTGATTTAAAAACCACTGACCAAGTTTCATTCTCTGAGCAGAGTGCCACACAGTTTCACAGCTTGGTTTTCTTTGCCTCAGATTGAGGGTAAAAGAAAGGGCATCCTTTGGGGAACAGCTATTTTTTTATATTCTAGTTTTGTCAGTGTAGAAAGAAAGAGGGTATCAGATTCTGGGATCTCTGTGGCACTATAGAAGACAGAGGTGTGGGATTTTTTCTAGAATTGACTAGTGACTTCTGGATGCATCCAGTTACTTCCTGATATTATTGAATCCATTTATTTTTGAAAAACCTGCTGTTTAGAAAGTGAGTATTCAGCCCTTTCTGCATATCAGTGCTTTGCAAAGGATCTGAAGCAAGGCATTTACAAGTGAAAGCCTCTGAATTTACTAATCACTTTGGGGGAAGCATTCTCTTTCAGCACAGGTTCTTGCCTTACTTTCCCTGTGCCCTGCTCTAGTCCCCAAAGCAGCAAAATACAGTCCAAATTTCAAGAGAAACATTTGCCTCTTCTTTTTTGAGATCTGTTGTTGAGATGCCTCTTGTAAAAACCCATGTGGTCTAGAAAATGTGAAAAGTAAACAGTAGAGGAAGTATGTTCACTTACTAACTTAGTGGGAGCATCTGACTAAGAATGTGGTCTCTTACTAATAGGGAAACTGTTTTGAAGTTTGAAAATATGTATTTTGGTCACAATCCATTATTTAGGTGACCAATACTGATAATGTTGCGAGCTCTCAAACCATAACATGTGGCCTCCATTTCCAAAGCTGCTGCAATCTGTTACAGAAACGTGGGTGAGGTGAATTGGGAAAAATAAAATCTACAGTTCAATTCATATTTAAAAATAAGTATCAACCCGAGCAGCTGGCCTTGGGCAGGACTTTTTTACCAACTCACAGGTGGAAGACTGTCTTTCATCTTGAATTCTGTTGGTTTCCAATGCACTTGCTTTCTCATCTCCTATATTTTGCATTCTTTATGAACTCAGATCTTAGCTGCCCAGATGTTTGGAGCCAAACTCCCTCTGACTTTTACTGAGACTGGAGTACTCCAAAGCCTCCTGTCACTTGCAGCAAGACTCCAGCAGGATATTGAACACCCACATCTGCGAAGTGAGCAGGTGATTGGACTGTTAATGAAACTTGAAGTGCACTAATTGCAGGCTTTGTGGTCACTGCTTTCGGTTCTTCACCAGCCATGTAATGTGCCTCTTAACCGGGTGGAGCCTTTTAAACAAGAGAAGAATCATAGAACTGTTTAGGTTTGAAAGACTTTTAAGATCATTGAATCCAACTGTTTCTGTTAGAAATTTTGGGACATGTAATGAACTGTGCTCACAGCTTGTAAATCTACTCAGAAGTTCCTGCTGACCTCATGAATGTAAGTGATCATACAGGGATAACAAATTAGTATTCCAATAGTATATAACTGTTAAAAGCACATGTAAGTGTCCCCACCGCTGAGCTGACATCTCTTTGTACTGTATGCCTTGCAAACACCTGAAAAAAACCCCTTCTTTTGTCAACGACCTTACTATTCCTGTGCAGTAGTCAACAAACGTATCACTGCAACATCTTTGCAAAGTCAGGAGATGTTCTTTTTGTAATTCACCCTATTTGAAACCCGAGGCACTGCTTATATTCCATCTGAAGCTATTCCCTGTGTGACTTTTTCCTCAGTTCCCTGCAACTCAAAGTGCCATTTAGCTGCAGTGCAGTTGACAGTGTTAGCACATCTGGTGCTGAAATTAAGGTTGCAAAAATTCTTTGCCTATTTAAAGGAAGCATCAGGTCTGCATACGATTTTTCTTTGTGTTGAGATGAAATACTCTACTTCTGAAAAAATGCTGATTCACTTGAGCCAAAATGGAGACCCAGAGATGCATCCAACAGGGTCCTGATTTATATCAAGAAGCAGAGGCACTTCAACCTTGATTATGCACTTCTCATGAAAGTGCACCAACCTCTAGATTGTTGGGGGTGGTAGTGGTGGTGTAGTTGTTTTCATTAAAAACCTCAAAAGATCTTGATTTCATTCCAAGGCAGTACAACAGCATCTCTGAAGTCATGAAAATGTTTGTGGTGGGATAGGCAGATGAATGTTCCCATCTAAATCTGCTGACAGATTCTCTAGTAATGCTTTGCTACTTTTTCATGACAATGAAAGCAGAAGTTCAATTCCAAAAAGCCGAACCACATTTCTTTGCAGCAATCACATTGAATTTACTTTAAAATAATGGAAGTGGGAGAAAAAACCCCAACAATCCAAATTACTTACCAAGACCTTCGGCGGGTGTCATATCAGAATTGCACCATTTCCATTTCACATAGCAAACGAATTTACAGTCATTAAATTCTTTTAACATGCATAAAATAGGCATCCTGTTATATTACTCAAGCCTACCAGGTTAAATACTTTCAATCACAATAATTTTGGTATCACCCTATGCTGTTTAGCGCTAAAAAACAATCAGTATTAACATGGAGTAGTAAAAATTTGAGAAGTTAGTTTGTTCAAGCATAGGTTGTCTTTTCTTTGAAAAAAACAATTGAAAATAATGTTTACACTTATGAAAACGACAAATAGATCTACAGTTCAGAAGAATATAAAGTACACTCTTTCGGATGAAAGTCTAAAACAATCTGGTGAGTTTTCCGTTGCTGAATTAGTTGCCGCTTTTGTTTTTGTTTTTGTTTTTGCTCATGTGGAGCATTTGCTGTGGCATTTATATGTGATTCTCTTCAAGCGTAGCAATATTTATCAAGTTTATTATTTGCCAAATGCCTGTACTACAGCTTGAGGCAGGAGATCTTGGTAGATTTCCTTAGTCATTTTTCCGACTTTATCTGGTATTTTGAAGTATTTAACAAAGAAAGAAAGAAAGAAAACAGAAGCCCTAGCAGAATTATTTAAAGTCTTGTAGATAGATAGATAGATAGATAGATAGATAGATAGATAGATAGATTCCAAAGATGATGTACAGCTTTGGCTGGGAATTGAGGAAATAATGAATTAGGCTGACTTACTGAATTATTTTGTAATAAAAATCATAGCTTGGTTGAAATGCAAATCTTAGGCTAATTTTTGCAAAAAATATATATATAAGTCTCTTGTTATACACCACTAAAGGTAGAGAGAAGATAAGAGATTGAGAAGAGGCAGTAGTTTTTGATGATTACTGCAAATAACTTTAAAATTTGAACTGACATTGGTCTGATTTTCAAACACTGGAAGGTTTGAAAACACAGTTGGTGCTTTTCATGCAATTTTAAGGCTGAAAAAGGAGTTTGGCAGCTACGTCTAGAAAGAAAATCAAAATCTTCTAGAAGAGGTAGTGGTGGAGAAAAAACTGCAGGGGAGGGGAGAGCAAAGAGCTAGTGTGTGTTTCTGTAATACCCCCCTTGTAGCCCAGGCACATGTCCCAGTACCTTACTGGGTGCCAGAGAGCACAATGCCACCAGCAATTGCTGAAAGATACTTTTGCCTTGACGGATCCTGCAGTGCCAGCTCTCCACCTGCTCCAGTGAGGGTTTGTTCCATTACCCAGTGGGTCCAGTACAGAACTGGCTGGGGAGTTGGGCAAGATGTCCATGCCTTGGTTTCTAGGTTTGCACTGCCATTGAGTGAGATCTGCTTTCATTTCTCTGCGTGCACAACACAGCTCAACTGCAAGGATCAATAAAGAATGCAAATACCAGGATTTATTTGTAACACTCAAAATAGTCATTCTCATTTACAGATGTTTAGAAAATACAGAGGTGTGAAAATAAAAGCTATGGTGAATGGTACTCGTGCTGTAGTTACATCAGAGGGAGACCCCTTCCGTCATTCAGACTCCAATTTTATTTTTTTTTTTGCTATCCAGACAGTAGTCAGGACTTCAGGCTTTACCCATTTCTCTGTTTTTCATTAATTACATTAGCTGGTATAGCTGTCTTTTCTTTGAAGCCTTTTGGTAGGTTTGCATGAGTGTAACCATTCACCCTGGAACTCACCGTGTCCTTTTCCTTAGTAGGAGGGACTGATTCCTTACTTCTGACCCAAGCAGTCAGAAATTGTGTCAGGTCCTTAAAAAAGTCTTTAAAAGCACAAGTGTGCTTTTGATGGTCTTTTTCCTTTAAGAAAAAGGTTAAATGCAGGACCTGTTTTGCTTGTCTTCTGGTTTCTCTGCCTTCAAGTTATCTTCTTTCTTACTAAAATCACAGGGGCTAGACACTTTACTCATTTTTATTAAAATTAAAGATTTAATGCCATAATAAGAAGCAGAGACTTAAAATGCACAGGACTTAAATTATAAGAACTGGTAACGCACAAATTCATTAAAACATTGAATTTCTAAATTCAGAAAAACTCCAAAAAACCAGAATTGATTAGGTTAGTTTGAGAACATTGTGACATGTTTGTGGGTACGCTAGGAACCAAAAAGAAACACTTGTGTTGGTTTTGTTGCACAGAATAAAAACCTATATACATTTAAGTTCAGAGCTTTTCTTGGAGCGGCTTTGATTGAATCACACGATTCTTTTCTGTTGTTTGTAGCATTTGTGCTGGGGTTCCAGGGTAAGTCCTCCCACCTGAAGCGCTGATTGCATTACACTTGCACCTCTGTCTGTGTTGCTCATTTCTCTTTTTCTTTTCCTGCTATCTTTGGAGAGAGAAGTCCCAGCTCCCAGTCACAGGGACACAGAGCGCTTCCTCTTCCTAGCAGCATACTCCCCCGCCCCAAAATTGGATAAGGAATGACTGAGGCGAGTGTCCAGAGTATCAGAGTTGTTGCTGCTGCTGCTGATTTTCACCCGCGGGCACAGGCACTGGAGCATGGCTCTGCGGATATAGCTGTCAAAGCAATAATAAATGAAAGGGTTGGCACAGCTATTGGCAAAAGCAAAAGGGTTGCTCACCTTCATGCCCAGTTGGGCAACCATGTTGGAAAAACAGTCAGACTGCTTCAGGAGTCCCAAAAGAATGGCCATAAGCTTGAACAGATTGAAGGGAACCCAGGAGACAACAAAAGCCACCACTACAATGAAGACGATCTTGATGGATTTTCTCAATTTCTTATCATGTTTCCCAGTCTTCTGATAATGCACACAGAGTCTCTTGGTGATAGAGCAGTAAAAGGTTAAGATACTCAACAGTGGGAAGAAGAAGGCCAGGATTAAAAGCATCAGCGACGCAATCTGTTTGGCTTCTGTCATGGCTTTGTCTGTGCAGTAAGTCTTTCCATATTGCTTCTTCAGTTCTCTAGACAAAAGGGTTGGCATCCCCAAGCAGCAGGATAACAACCAGACAGAGATGCAGAGTGCTCTGGAATAGGATCTTGTTCTGATCCGTCTAGCGATAGAGGGGTGCATGATAGCCAGGTATCGGTCAGCACTCATGCAAGTGAGGAGGAGGATGCTGCAGTACATGTTGACTGAGATGACATAGGAACTAGCTTTACAGAGGAAAGATCCTACCCTCCAGCTCCCATCCAACACCTCCTCGTCCACCCAGAATGGCAGCGTGATGAGGAAAATGAAGTCAGATGCAGCGAGGTTGATGATAAAGACGTCAATCAGCCTCTGGACCTGTCGCTTGAAGACCAAGGCTACGATCAGGACTGCGTTGCCAACAATGCCCACCAGGAACACAGCAGTGTACAGGATAGGGAGGAAAATAGACATATGTTGCAGGTGCTGATACTGGCAGCTGTCCTCGTAGTAGTACTCATAGTTGGGGGTGACTGTAGACACAGATGAGAGCTGGTTGAGTTCCATTTCTGGCCAGGCTGTTCTCATCCCTGCTCTGAGGGAGGCTCTGAGCTCCCCTGCCCTTCCCTTCAAGGTCTTTAAAAACATTTTATAGAGTGAGGGGGGAGGAGAGGAGGGAGGGAGGAGGAGAACAGTGGTTTTGTGGGGAGATAATTTATATACTTTTAACCAACCGCATAGGCAACAAACAAGCAACAAGAGTCTCTGATTAGTTGAAACCTTGTCTTCAGAATAAACACTTGCAGCTTTTTTTAAAAATCAGGTTTAATTTTACTGTTTCTATCTCGATTTTGCATTTGCCCATGAAAGCAAACGAGGTTCAGTTTTTGCTTTTTTTTCTTTTGGGGGAGGGAATGTAGTTTTCAAGATACAGAACCTTTTATTTTTTAGCACAGGATATTGGTAGCTTGCAGAGATTTGAGATTGTACCAGCTCAGAAGAAGTCAGAGAACAGTGAATTTGGGTGTCACATTCTTTATCTATACTCAAAATATTTTGTACAAACTGCTTGTCATGGCAAGTTCAACTTTCCTGAGGCTTGGAGTTTTTTACTTTACTTGTTCATTTATTGTTGTTGTTTTCTGTTGAGAGTTATCTTATATGAAAATATACAAGGAGAAACACTTAAAAATACTATATGCTTTCTGCACTGTATTGGTTGTTCTGTATCAGTTCCAGGCTCTTTGCTGCTCTGCCAGTGCACCCCTCCTGCCCTGCAATCCCTTCAGTTCCCCTAGACATGGAGTCTCCACACCCAACTCAATTAATGTGTTAGAAACTTAGAGAACAGTTTTCCAGAGTGTCACATATTCTTCTGTAATTTGAAACTTGACTTGATGCTCCCATCCCCCTCACAGACTTCCTTATCAGCCACAGTCCTGGACTCCAGAGCAGTAGTTTGTTCCTTCTTCTTCTGACTGCACAGGCTGCATGGCTCTTGGGCTGTTCTTATTTACAGTGCTTGCTTCCCTTAAAGAGCTCTGATTTCCTTCATCTTTCATTTGTAGTATCTGTATTGCTTCAGCTGTGACTTACCTTACAGACAGCCCTTTCAGCATTGCATAAATCAAACAGAAATTCTCATTTTTTAAGCTACTGAATTCATTACAGATTTGTCAGTACATACTAATTTGAAACCTCTACTATTGGTCGTCATCATCCTTCCCCTCTTCTGCAGATAAATTAATTTTCTCCTTCCACTCTCTCCCACCTGCATGTTCACACACCAGGCGCTTCTTCGGGATTCTCAAAGCTTTCAGGAAATTGCCTACTGGTGCAGGCTCCAGCCCTGGGCACATAGATTGCGTCTGTGTGTGTGTCCACAGGCAAAGAGCAACTGCAGATCGGATGGGCAGCAAATCAGTCCCTCCAGCGCACTCTGGATGCACTCAGATTCACTCTCTCAGTGCTCAGGTTATGTGGTCCTGTGCAGCAGGTGCCTGGTAGAATTCCAGGCACCTGGAAAAGTAGCCAGCTGCTACTAAAAACTGGCTGCTGGATGGAAGGATATTTAGGTGGGCACTGTCTCTTGTGTATATGTGCTGATGTCTAATAAGGAGCTAGTTATATACAACTGCCCTCCTATCAGTAGTGCACTAGTGGACTCTAGCTGACTATTTCTAATGGAATGCGTAAGGATTTACTTAGCGAGTGCAATTCAGCCATCACAAACTCTGAAAAAGGATCAAGGTGTATAAAAACACCCCAGATTAGATTACTGATTTGTATGCCACAGATGTAAATGTGAACCTGTAAGGAAGAATAGGCTAAAAACCATCTTGCCGTCTCAACTTGGGTGTAACCGTTCAGTTTAAAAATAACTGTGTCCTCTTCCTAAGTAGGAGGCAGTGACCCTTTTCAGTTAGTCACTTGTGAATTAGAGTAAAAATAACATTCCATGGATTTGTGAAATGCCTCATTGTTATTCTAGGAGTAATCTCCTGCACCTGATTGCCTAAAAGACAATTCTTATTTTCAAGGCAAAGTAAAAGTCTCTTCCATGGTGCTGAAAGTGAGCAGATACTATTGCTGCAAGTCTTTTTGTCTGTGAGACTTGTCACAGGTCAGCTACAGCATGGATTTATGTGCCAGCTTATTCTTTCCCTGGCAAAGCTGAGAGAAGGGAATGTAGATCAAAATTCATAAAACTCTTAAAATCGGGTTGGGTTGAGGACATTGTGATTTGTACGTGACAGATGTAAGTGTAAACCTGTAAGAAACCACAGGCTAAAATTCATCTTCTCACCATCTGAAGATTACAAAAGATATAGCGAGTTTCCAGACAAGACTTGTGTGAAAGTGCCGGAGTAGCTCACAGTTTACAGAAATTATGTTTGATAGATTCAGTGCAGAGGTGAGTTTTGTGTCATCTTTGCTTATTTCTACTTCAAGGAATGTGTTTCAGGCTTTTTCTTCCCAGGAGCCCTGGGAAATAGATGCATTGTCTTTGTATTAGTACTAGAGTAGAAGATCAGCTGAATCCTACAGTCTGTGATATTGATTCACTGAGGGCACCACGTAGGGTCTTACTCTTCCCAGAGCTCACTTCCCTGAGGCAGAGCCAAGCTCTCAAAAATACTGAGTACATCGAAATTCCCCTCATAACACTCTCCAGGAAGGTCAGCACGTAACGTGCAAAGATCCAAGAGATGTGGTGAGATGTTTTATCATCAAGAGAAAGCCTCCATCCCCTCCTCGCTCTTCTAGATTTCCACAGAATTTTTTTCCTCATAGACTTTGCCAGATGCACGTAAACCCTTTTCCTGAACAAAATTTTCTGCTGAAGAAAACAGCTACTGGCTTGGCTTGGGTGTATGTTCTTCCATTTGGGATACCCATCTTGTCCAGCCCTTGACACAGGTCTGAAAAAATGCAGCCGCCGGGTGCTGATTAGTTTTGAACCTGAGAGTGAACCTAAAGCTTCTGTAACCAGACACTCAGAGCAGCTCCTGGGATCATGGCCTCGAATTTGGCCAGTTCTGCTTTAAAGAGCATTGGTCTACTATGGTGTCCTGCCTTTCTCAAATGCACCTGTGAAATTTGTCACGGCAGTATCTGGACCATTCCTTAAATCTTCCTCATAGGAAATGCTGAGGCGCTTCCAACAGTAGCAAGGGAAAAGATTTCATGTTGTTGTTCGCAGTTCTGTAGTGTTTGCCATACACGTATTGCAGGCAGGTAGCCACCTATTTTTGTGACAAAATCCGTAAAAGAGCTGCGCAGCAGAACCATCAGCACAGGAAGTATGCAGAATTGTTGGTTTAGTTTGTTACACACACCACCTCCCCCTTACAAATTTCTGCAATTGAAGCATTTCAGGTAGCGAGGTGTGAGTTTGTTTTTTGTGGTTCCTTTTTTTCTTTTACATTCTCTGTTTTACTGATAGTTCAAATGTGGTCTTATTCCAGCTTGTATATGCACATTTATACAAGTACAGGCATCTCGATAAAGTAAGCTGTGAGTCTGTAAATTATTAATGATGATAAATGCTGAGAAGGAAAGAGATTCATTTGGCTGTAAAAGAAAATGTAGTAGTTTCTAAATGATTGTGCTTCAAAAATACGTAAGGAATAGAGATTTGCAGACCTAATTAAAAAACAATCCAAAAAACACACTAAATTGGCTGAAACTGCCCTACTATGCCATAACCAGTTGAAGGCAGGCTCAGAGGTGACCAGTGAATGATAACGAACAGAAGTTTCACCCCTCAACAAAGAGGAGAGGCTGGAACCAATTCAGGTAAAATCATAGCCATTGAGACAACGCATTGCGATAGGTTGAAATAGTTCCATGCTGAGAGTAGTGGTCTACAAAATGCAGTGCAGGAAGAAGATATTTTTGGTACACTTAATTTTGAAATATTTATTATCTCATCATTTTTTAATTTATATTTTTCTATATGTTTTATAATGTACATAATCTCTTGGTACAGTAGTACATTTATATAATTCTAAAAAAATATATACATATTAGAGGGGTGCCTGCTCACAAAGTTTTTGCGGATGGGGTGCATGATAAAAAGGTTTGCAGAGCATGGACGTAAGTGAGTATAATTAAAATGCACCACTGCTATTCATAGTATTTGGAGGAAGTGCATCTAGAAGATCTGCTCTCTGTGAAAATTATAATTATAGTAGGATTTTCTTATCCTACTGTGTTCTGTGCCACAGTAGGAAAAATAAAGAAGGCAGAAACTGTATAAGGAAGTCTGAGACGAATCCATGGGATTTTCTGCTCCCTCTGGCTAAGTGCCTAAAACACAAAAACTAAAACTGCCTTTTTTGTTATTACAGAAAGAATGTTTGTTGAGAGATGCAATATCTTGTAAATTAACGAGTAGTATTAGAAAAAAGACAGACTTTTGAACGCCTTTTTCAGATCTGAATCAGTACCTCCTAAAGTGAATGTGATATATGAAGGGTTTTTTCTCTTCTCATCCTGTATCAGCTTCATTTAATACAGATGGTGCCACCTCCTACAAATACTTACTTATTTCCTTAAACTGTGAGAAGAAAAATGACAAATTTTGTACTAAACAATTTTTTTCTTTTTTTGCAACATACCGGGGGTTTGTTTGTCTTCCTTGCAGCACTCTGATGTTAAACTGTCTGTCACTGCCTGAGAACTTACTAATGCACATGATCCAGGTCTTCTATCGAAGAAACTTCACTTTTACAAAAAGCAGGAACAACATTTAAGCTATAGCCCTCAGCATTATTCTTTTCACACTTTCCTGTGCAAACTACCACTGTTTCTGCACACTAAAGCAAACTTTTACTTTTATAACCTTCCCAAATGATCCTGTTCTGTGACTAAACTGATTGGCCAATGGTTCTGCTGAGGCAAACTGAAGTAGTGTGAAAAAAAGAGAAAAAGAAAAAAGATTGTTGTTGGCAAGGAATGACCCTGTGCGTTCATTTGTAATGTTTTTATTGGGTTACTCGTAAAATATGGGAGGGTATTTTTCCAGAAAAAAAAATAATCCAAGTGAAATCTGGAGGGATTATTTGAATTTAAATAAATAAAAT